TCATTGAGTTCTAAAGGATAAATAAGTTGTACTGGGCGTTTATATTCGCCGTTGGATTTGTGAATAAGGCAAGATCTTACAAGTCCATCACGCCCTTGAAATACTTTTGTTATAATACCTATGTCCCATAATAGTTTTGATTTTGTGGTGCCCTCCATCAAAACCACATCTCCCACTTTCAAACATTTTGTTAGGTTAGGAGAAGTAAAGTTGTGTGCAGATCTCAAATTAAACAAATAGCGCTCCTTCCAGCGCTTCCATAAATTAGCCAATAATGTTGCCTTGTATTCTTTTCTTTTTACAAGAGTCTTTTTGGTGGATTCTCCATGGATGGTTTCTATGAAATGGGCTGGATATTCTGCCTTTTCTTTACCAGGGGTTAAAAAATGTGATGGGGTAAGAATTTTCGGTTCTCCGATTTCGTTAGTGACGTAGGACAGGGGTCGAAGATTAGCGATGGTTTCGATTTCAGTCAATATAGTGGTCAATTCTTCAAAATTTAAAAGAGCTTTTCGAAGTATATTCTTTAGAGGCTCTATGACACTTTTCACCAATCTTTCATAAAATCCTCCCCACCAAGGGGCAAGTTGGACGATGAATTTCCAGGATATTCTTTTAGCAGCAAGAAAGTTTTTAAATTCTGAATATTCCAAAATATCAAATAATCTCTGAAGCTCGTTATTGGTACATTTAAAAGTCTTGGCGTTGTCGGAGAGAAATCTTCTGAATGCGAGCAGAAAAGTCGAAGTAGACATGTCTGTGACTAATTCAAGATGTATTGCTCTCGTGACTGCACATGTGAACAAGGCTATATATGATTTCTTTATTCCATTTTCACCCTTGATGTAGATTGGAACGACAAAATCAATTCCGCATACAGTAAAAGCAGGAGTTTCACTAATTCGATCTTTTGGAAGCTGTCCAGTCATTTGGGTAGAAGGTTTGGCTGTGTATCTGCGACAAATCAAACATTTCGAGACAACCTTTTTTAGTAATTGTCTTCCTTTAGGCCCCCAAAATCTTCTCCGAATTTGTACTAGAGTGCTCTCTACTCCAGAATGAAATACATTTTCGTGTTCTCGCTTGACAAGCAACTCTGCAAATTTAGACTGTCTTGGTATGATTATAGGCTATTTCTCATCATAATAATCTCTATCGGCCAATCTTCCTGTGATTCTCAGGATATCTTTTTCATCAAGATAAGGAGCTAAATTGAAAATAGTAGAAGAAGCTGGAATAGTCAAACTAGATTGGAGAGTTCGTATCTCACTTTCAAAGAATTTTGCTTGAGTAAGCTTTACTAGTATATCTTCAGCATTTCGGAGCTCTTCTGCAGTCAAAGTGTCCATATTCAGCTTAACTTTCTGTTCAAACATCTCTTTACCCACGCTATGATTCTAACAACTTTTTCGAGGTACCTAAAGTTAGCGATATTTATCAACTGAAGTTCTTCACAATCTACACATTTCATAACGGTTACTTCTTTTTTTACGATACTCAATTTGCTCATCATTTTCTTTGAAGAGCTTTAATTCTGGCCACATTTCGGTCGGAAGGGACAACCAATGTGGCCCTTTCCACCAAATGTCGGAATTCTTCAATATTCTCATGGAAGCACCTCTACTAATAAGATCGGCAGGATTGTCAATTCCGGGGCAGTGGAACCAGTCCACAGGTTGAGTAATCTCTTGAATTTCTTCTAATCGGTTAAGCACAAATTGCTTAAAACGAATGGCAGGAGTTTTTATCCAACAACACACAATAGAGGAATCGCACCAAAAGGAACTGTCACACGGAATTTTTATGGCTCTAGTAATAGTTCGAAATAATCTAACAGAGAGGAGGGCACCTGGTAGCTCAAGTATTAGTAATGTAATCATTTTGAGTGGCGCAATTCGATTTTTAGCTGAAACAAAACATGTAGAAATATGTCCATCACTAGTTTCTGATCTGATATATGCAACTGTACCATAACCCTTTAAGCTGGCGTCAGAGAAGATATGTAATTGTGAACTTATAATTTCTTTGTTACCTGCTTCGAAAAAATTATAACGTGGTATTTTCAAATCATTAAGTTCACCGAATTGTTTACATATTTCGCGCCACTGATTTTCCATATCTAAGGGTAGTTCTTGATCCTACTCCAATCCGCTTTTCAAAATGCTTTGAACTAGAAATTTTAGAAGCATTGTAAAGGGTCCCAAAAATCCTACTGGATCAAAAATACGCCCAATGATTTTCAAAATAAATCATTTTGTTATTTGCCCCGTGTCTATCAATTTTGGCAGATATTCGAACTCAAAGTAAAATACATCTCTTTTAGGATCCCAACAAACTCCCAAAACTTTAAATGGAAAGCCTGATTGTCCTAACGATTCCTTTTCATTCTGAACATCTATACCTGCATTCTTCCATAATTCACGTAATTTTTTATCATTTGTTTGAAACTTTCTCAATACCATGCCCGCATCCCGAAATATTTCAACACAATCAGAACTTATTTGAAATGCTGTATCTGTACTATCACTCTCCCTATGACGTCATTGACATATATCCTTTCATTTAGTAATTCATACGCAAGAGGCTTCGATTTTGCAAACTTTTTAATATGCTCTTTAATAGTAGCCGCTAAGAGAAAAGGGCTACAGTTGATACCAAATAGTACGCGGCAAAATCTATAAATTACTGTAGACGAATCATCATGCATCCATGTTCTCGGGGTCATCTGACCAAAGAAATCTTGTGACAACTCGATCTTCTGCATTAATCCCTATTTGTAAGAAAGCTTGCTGAACGTCCCCTATAAAAGCAATCTTGCTTTCCCGAAACGCTAGCATAAGTTCATATATATCAGGGTATAAATTTGGCCCAATATACAAACAGTCGTTAAGAGACAATTCATTTTTTCATGCACGGAACCGTCAAATACTATCCTTAATTTGCCAGTTAGTTTATCATTTCTTATAACAGCCCTATGAGGTAAATAACATTGTTTATAAGTTTGGGGATCAGAGTTCTTAACTTTCTCAATTATCCCTTCATTTTCGTAAGTTTTTAAAACTTTTTTATATTCTTCAAACAAGGATTTATCATTTTTAAATCTCCTCTTTAATTTGCCAAACCTCTCTGAAGCCAGCCCAAAGTTTTCATTTAACAAATGCTTTGTATTAGGTCTCCAGAGAAGTCGTACACTATACCTATTATTTTCAAAATGCAAATCAGAATTAAAACCTTTTAACAATTCACTTTTATTAACAGCATTTTCTTCGTTCATGGTATTTATTCCTAGTCCTTCAAGGTTCCAAAACAAAGAATAATCAACATCAGATATTATAGTATTATTTACAATCCTACTTAATTGGCAATTATTCATGAATTTCCCTTGAACCACAAAACCAAATAAACTATCGGTTGCAACGAGTCCTCTTCCCAACCTCATAGACGTATCAAAGATTACGTCATGTAGGAAATCGGCGCCGATTAAAATGTCTATATCAGCAATTTCTCCGGTATCCGAAAGAAAAATATTATTTTTCCTTGCTAATTGTTTAATTCTCTCATGGAGTGCGGCTATTTTCCCACACGTTATTTTTTCTACTACAAATGCTTCAATGCAAACATTTAATTTTTTATCGTTTTTTTTCTGAAGATTTACTTTCACTAAATCGTAAGAACACCCCTTGGAAATTTTTTCTCCAAAACCGAAAACATGCAACCGTTCAGTTTTAATGGTCCTGAGGTTCAACTCATTACGAATATCACGTTTCAAAAAACTGCGATGGCTACCAGAGTCAAATAAAATTCTAACCAGCTTCTTTACATTACCATAAATCAATGATCGATTTACAGACTTCTTTAACGTATGCTAAAGAAGTCTGTAAATAGATCATTTCATTTTGTTTTCGTTTCGAAACACATGAAAATTTCCGTAGCTCGTTCTAATTCAGACGCACTTAAACACTCTGTTTTCTTTAATGCTGGTTCCATTTTACAATTATGCACAAATCTTAAGCATAAAGCTGTTATTCTAATTAGGCTACTGAATGATGAATATCTTGCGATCAAATATTCTGCTGGCTCTTTTTCAACTGTTGCATTTACAGTAACTGATTTCTTGAACTCCAATTCATCCATGTTCTTATCAGTTTGGATTACTGGTTCTAACGATTCTGGCCATTCTGTTTCATTCAATGTTTACCATTTGGGTCCATGCAACCATAGTTTGTTGTGCTGAAGATCATCTGAGGATACTCCTCGACCTATCAGATCAGCAGGATTGTCTTTTCCTATACAATGATGCCACTCGTCCTGTTTGCTAAGTTTTTGTATTTCTTGTACTCTATCCTTCACGAACACTTTGTGTCTAATCGGGTCCCCTTTGATCCAGTAGCATGCTATTTACGAATCTGTCCAATAAAATCGTTCAAGAGATAATTCTAGAGCAGATTCAATTTTATGGCTTATTCTAGCTGATAAAAGTTGACCCATGAGCTCCAGTTTTGGGATTGATAGAGTCTTTACAGGTGCTACTCTAGTTTTGGAAGCTACAAATGAAATAATATTGCGATCAATTAATTCTATACGTGAATAAGCCACAGTTCCATAAGCTTTCTTGGATGCATCAGAAAAGCAATGCAGTTGTAGGCTAATTGTACTTTCAAGTAACAATTCTTTAAAGTAGCAACGTGGTATACGTATTTTCTTTAAATACTCTATTTCCTCACACCATTTGTTCCAAACGACTCCTAACTGTTTTGGCAACCTTTCATCCAAGTCCAAACCTAAACACCAAATTTCTTGTATTAAAAGTTTGTGTATGGACAATCAAAACCTATTGGGTCAAATAGTCGACCTGCTACTTGCAATAAGTATCTTTTAGTTTCCTTTCTTTTGGAGAGAAATGCTTCCAGATTTTTGAAATCAAAATAAAATGTATCAGTTTTCTCATTCGATCCTACTCCTAGGACCTTAGAAGTTATCAAGCTAGTGTCCAGTGCACTTCAAGACTCATCAACTTCAAAATTCAAATTCTTCAAATCTTGGGTAAGTTCAGGTGAGTTTCTTCTCCATTTTCGAAGGTCTACGCTAGCATCTTTAAAAATCTGCACACTTTCTTTACAAGTTTTCAACGCTTGTTGAACATTGTCTTCTCCGCAAAAAAAATCATCCACATAAAGAGACTGGTTCAGATGCTTGTAAGTCGACGGAAATGTGTCCATGTATTTTTTCAGATGATGTTTAATTGTAGCTGCTAGTAGGAAAGAGCTAGATTTCACTCCAAACAAAACTCTGCACATTCGGAACACGTCAAACTCCTTGTTTTCCAAATGTAAATTTTCTGGATCATCATCCCAGAAAAATCTTGTAAAGTTTCTTTCACATTCATTAATTTCAATCATCAAAAAGGCCATTTTAATATCTGCTACGAAAGCAATCAGGTTTTTCCAGAATTTGATCAAAAGACTAAATAAGTTTGGTATGAAATTAAGACCGGTGTGAAGACATTCACTCAAACTTAACTGTCCTTTATCATCTGATCCTGCATCAAATACAATCCGTACTTTGCTTGTAGTCTTATCAGTACGAATCACTGCTCTAAGTGGTAGATAAAATGTGTTTTTTTGCAAATTCTCCTCTTCAACTGGAACACGCTCAATGATATTCTCGGAAATATAGTTCTTTATTATTGATCTATATTCACTAAATAAAGTAGAATCATTTCTTAAAGTTGATCTTAATTTCATAAATCTCTTCCTTTCCACTTGTTCATTATTTTCTAACAACGATTTCATATGCGGTTTCCAGGGAAATTTAACTTTATGACGCTTATTTTCATATGAAATTCCAGCTTCAAATTCAGACATTATATCGTTATCATTAATTTTGTCATTAGATATCTTTGCCTCAATCCCTAAATTTTCAAATTCCTAAATTCACTAAGTTGTTTGGAAATGATCGACATATTAACAATAACACGCATTGTAAATAATTCCTGGCAATTTGTACTCCCCCCCCCCTTGTAAAGACCATCCACGCAACGTTTTGACTGCTACTAAATTTTTGTTTACTCGCATAATTCGCCCAGTAACTACCTCATAGTAATAGTTCCCACCCAAGAGAACTGATATTTCTTTATCATTAAACTCATAAGAATCAGCTAATTATATATTTCTCAAGTGTCTAAATCTTTTATCAATGTTTTCAGGAGGGGTCGGTAAATGTGAGGCCGTTATATTGTCTGTTTCAATTGCTTCAATTTCAATGAATAAATTTGGATCCTGTCTATTTTGCAATTTAATTTTCGCGACATAATAAGTTTTCTTTTTGTTTTCATTACCGCAAAAAATGGGCAAATTGAAATACTTTCTTCTCTGATTATAGAAAAGTTACATTTTTGGACAAGGGACGACAAAATAAAGCTACACTGATTCCCATTATCCAGGAAAACGCGGTATATTTCCTTTTTATTTTCATCCCCAGTCAAGCAGCGCATGTACGTATCTTACAAAATGCCATCGGATTTAATATTTTTAGCTTTGCCGAAACGACGCTATCAGTTACATTTTTCTGATATGGACTTTCAATATTCGAATCAGTTTGTTTCCGAAAACATATTGAAATATGGTAGGATCCCCCACAAAAGGAACAGTTTTCTTTAATCGAACATTCTGCAACATGATGCCGAGGTTTAAGGCATAAAAAACAACATCCTTTACTTTTCAAAATATCTCTATTTTCCTTAGAATTAAAAGTATAACACGATTCTAATTTATGCGATTTATTGCAGAATAATAATTTCTCATTGCCTGGCACCGATGAGAGGCTCTGTTAAGATGATATTATGGAAAAAGTGTTTTCTTTTTTCAAGGGCTTGCATGTGGTATTACGTTTAACAAACCCATAATTCTTTTTTTTTCTTTCCTGTGGGGAGAGGAAACAAGACGGCGATGGTTTTTGATTATTAATTTGAAGAGATCGTTCGCGGCTCCGTATTTCTGAAGTGAGAAATTTTAATAGAGCACTTAAATCAAATTCCTTATCATTTTGGGATCGATTAAATTCTAAAACAAATTCTGAAGGATTTAATTTCATTAAAATGGGTGTCAATAAACTGGTATAAGTATCTCCTTTTATACCCAAGCTTTCAAAACTGCGTATCTGTGTTTCCGCGCTATCATATAAATTTCTAAGACTCATAACATCATTAGGATTTTTGACAGGTGATAAAATTAATAAATCACTCAAATGAGCGTTGATTAACATGTTTTTGTTTCCAAATCTATCCTTTAATAAATCTAGGGATTTATCGTAATTCTCATTAGAAATTGTAAATCCGTTAATGCATGCAAGAGCATTTCCACATAAATACGATTTCAAATAGTTAAATTTATCAACTTTGCTTAATTTTACATTATTATGAATACAACTTTCAAATAAATTGTAAAAATCTAACCATCCTGCTTAATTTGCCGCATATTTATTTATATTTAATTTAGGTAGATTTATGTTCATGCTTTCAGAATTGTTTGAATCATTTGTTTCAGAGGTATTTGAAACTGTATCAGCTGGGATAGAATTCATTTTCTTTATTTTGAAAGAAAGTTTTGTTTTCCAAAAAATTATTTTTTCTTGGATTTCTTCAGAAGTTTTAATATCTTCAGAAATTGTATCTTCAGAGAAAGGATCTACAATTTCATCATTCAAAAAATTCAATTTGCTTTCTTTTTCATTCAATTGTGCTAAAAAAGCTTCAAATTGTTCCAGTAATTCTGTTTCGTCATTAATCGATTCTTCAATTTTATTAATCAATTTTGTCAGTGTTGTTCGTACAGTAGTGGTATGCTTCTTTCTTAATTTTGAAATATTTTCTGCCATATTTATTTCTATCCAGGTAATTCTGTTTCAATGAAAATAATAAAATTCTTGCCTGGATATTTCATTTGCCAATGACGCCAAATTAATCAGATCAGTTTAAATTCAATCCAGCTTCCTTTGGCCGATAACATCAAAAAATGGTCCGTGTTTATATCAATATAAAAGTAGGTTCAGTGGATTTGTATCAAAATAACTCATCGGCGAGATCAAATATAACAAAAACAAATATTTAATAACGAAAAAAGAATTAATACATCTTGACACTTCCGTGTCTACAAGTTCACTACTTTTTGATGCGCTCTCAGCGCCCTCTCAGTAAGGAGGTTTTACCAACTTATATAACATACTTATTATTATTATTGTTATTTTCGTAAATCATGAACAGACAGTTCAAATCTTTAAGCACTGTAATTAAAAGTTAAAAAATTACTTAGTAAATAAACACTAAAAGGATAGATAAACTTATTTCATAACAAGCCATAAACATGTATAAGAATAAATAAATAAGCCACCGAGAAGCATTAAATAATGAAAATACATCATTTAAATTAGATACACTGAATTATAAATGCCATTCAAGATCAACAATCTTCTTCTTTAGAAAGCTTTAGAAACCATTTTACCCATTTAAACGATTTATATACGTAAAAGCATCTGTAACTATAGAATATACGTATGAGTTAAATCATATAAAAATTTTTGATTTTTGAGGCGCTCACTAAAATTATGAAAAAAATAATATTTTAATCAAGTTATTATTGAGGGACCCAGTAATTCAACAAAAAGAAGAAACGAAAAGAAGCAAAATTTATCTTACCATTAAAAAATCAAATGAATATTAAAATGATAAATTTAATGCAATTATTTTAGTAACAGCAGTAAAGTTATCTTTATTTAGTTAAAGATTTATTTTCTTCAAATATAATGAAAATCTTTAAAATTGTTGTTATAAGTAAAAATAGGACTCGTTTTTTCCAACTAAGAAATGCAATGATTGTGGTAACAGTGTAAAAAATCCTAGAACATCGTTAACATGTTTGATGTTTAATAAAAAAACAAAACTATATATTAAATTAGCTGTGCTATAGAATACATTTTAACAACTAGATAACTTAAATTATATTTCTTATTAAAAATTTGTTAAATTACAGTTAAATTAGAGGTAAGTAAAGCTCAGGCAATCAATTTAGTTACATCTTGCGCACTTAAAAGGTACGAAAAACGCATTAATTTTAAAATGCTTATCTCTACGCTACTACATTTACTGAAAACGGATCTTCAGCTAACTTAAATTCTTAAAAATGTTATTTCTAATTTTATTTCAGTTATTAAAATTACTGGAAGTCATGGGCATAAGATGCACACTTTTTTTTAAAACTAATTCATATATTTACAATCTCTGATTAGTTGAAATTCCATTTACTTTTGGATTGCTTGAATCAAAAGGAAATATTTTGTTCTTAGTTATTCTATTAAAGAGAAATTAATTAATAATCCCCGGAAACTCTCTCATTTTCAGCACGAAATGAAAGAGCATCATTTTTATATTGTGTCGCACATGCTAATTTTAATCATAACTCATTATAAAAAGTTCTTAACATTTATATAATTTAAGATACAGCACTTAGGCACATTAAGCTCCTCTGAGAGTATGTTTCGATTATTCACTTAAGACGCAATTTAGTTTGCACCCTGCTTGGTACATTCACTACCACTAGTTCGTACTCCAATAATTAACTTTTTTTGTTTCATTCACTTGCTTAGCATTCATTAATCGATACATTATTCTATTTGTTTCGACGTTTCTTTATTTAAAAGTTATTAATATTTTTTAATTTAGCAAAACGCACTTAAAAATGTAATAACTGATCAAGGCATTTTTTTTTAATTATATAATATAACTCGTCAAAAACTTCACTCAAGGCACAAAAGGAAATAATTTTTTAATGTTCCTAATATTTTTATACTTCTATAGAAATTTAATTATTTCTTTACAATTTATTAGGTCATTACATTTAATTTTCTAATTTCAAAGACCTCAGGTATTTAAATTTCCTTTAACTAATTTTTGGTTATTTTTCAAAAGCGAAAAGGAATTATTTAAGTGAATTCCTGAATTGGTAATTTATCTTATTTGGAGGGACTTTTTCGCAAATTTGAAGAGGAAAAGAGGGGTATAAACTATTTATTATTATATTCACACGAGCAAAACTTAAAAACTTGTCCAAAACATGAGAAAAAATTGAATTTAATAATTGCATTAATCATTTTGTGGTACTCTTCAAAAATTGTTAATCACTATCTAAAAACTACTTAGGTTTATTACTCCAAGAATGATTTAAGATCAGTATTTATTACAATTAAGTGAAAAAGGGCAAAATTAAAATTAGTAAATATATTCAACATACATATTAAATTTTTTGAGACCAAATAAATTAATTAGAAAAACAGTGGAAGTTAGAAATAATAAAGTATATATATATATATATATATATATATGTNATATATATATATATATAATAACAGCTATTTAAGTACTGAAATCAGTATAACTTTGGAATTTTTTTTTTTTTAAAAATAATTGATTCCAAAATTTAAATTTTCTGAAAGAATTGGTATACAATTTTTTATATTATTTCAAATAAGGAAATTTTTAAACAGAAAAAATTCATGCGAAATCGGTCAGTTAATTCCTAAGAGGTCAAATATTAAAAATACGACTCTTTCAAAATTCGATTTTTCAGGAATTATCTGTTCCATTTCTGTCGAGTTTTGTATTTTGTCGTTTAATATTACCTTCCTTAAAATGACGTAAAAAATTTTATACCTTACAATTTAATGTTTTTCACAATTAATAAATTATATTATAAAATATAATAAATATTTACTAAAAGTTATATTCTCCATGGAATTATCTTTGGATAAATTAATTTTATGATTAAGAACAAAAATGTTTAAAATCGCTTAATAGATTCTCGAGAGATATGGC